TAAATTTTAATAACGGCCACTATAATGAACAGCCAGTACGCGCACAAATAGCACGAACGTTCGATGATGAGACAAGAATAATTTATTTATTATGCATAGCAACAATGTTTATCTGTTATCGTAGCGAACAAAATAAAATTATCACGAGATATGGATTTGTTTTATCAGTTACAATCCATCGTAAATTTAGATTTTGTTCGCGACTCGCTTATACAGTGTTTTATATAGCGACAGCGTAGTGACGATATTTTTATCATTTAATAAACGTTTATAAAAAAATATCGACGATCTTAATGATATATATTTTCCAAGTGCATATCGTCATAATTGAAATAGAAATCAAGTCTCTTTCAAGATAAATGGCATCTCAAAAGAGATGTTACATAAAGTTCTTTACAGTTTCCAAAAGAGATTTGGTTTCTGTTTCTATTCTGATTCGATGCGCACTTTGAAAATATATTAAATCATTATAATATTAAACACAATATCACAATATGATCAGAAAATGTTTAAAATGTCATAGTGATAGATTTTTGAGCGCCTGTGCGATGCAATAAGTGGATACAATAAGACAAACGGATGCCAATATTTTTATTTTTAAAAAGTCAAGAGGCTAAGTAAAAATCCATTCCCTCCAGGGAAAAAGAAATAAAATTCTCTCTCTTTTTTATTTATATGAATATTATTATTCGCAAATTATATATATACCAATTACATTTCTTCAATGCATTTGAAACTTGTAATGTTTTTTCTTCAATCAAACTTTATTGCACCCAATGATGTAAAATGCATCAAACCAAAGAAAAATTTAATTATATCTAAGAACGTAATTGTATACATTACTCGCATGTATTTTTCTCATATGTTTCTTATAGGGATTCAGATGTCAGAAGTGGAACCACTGGGCAGCGGAACGGATGCAATCAACGGGATGGTATCACAGGGCGACGAGCGCGAAGAAGATACGACGGACTTGAAAATAACTTTCAGGTCAGATTGTCAACCGGAATTGTTAATATGTTTTCTCGCGTAAAACTTTCATGAAAAGACAGGAGAAAAAAACGAAAAAGAAATAAATAAATAAAAACGAGAAATAAAAGAAGGCATCTACGACGATTTCTATCGGTGTGAAGACGCGATAACGTGTGATAACGCGACACGATTACGATGACAACAATTGTTGTTAACGATGATGATTTACACGATCATTACACGTAAAATTGATTATTTGCAGGAAAAAAAAGTTAAATAAAAACGTACGGGTATCGGAGGCGCCGGGCAAATCGCAAGTGAAACCATTTCCTATGGCGGAGGTAATCGAGCTTCGGCGACTCGCTGACGAATATAAGGTAATCCGTAGGATACGTTTTGTTATTTCAGAAGGTTTGGTTATTTCAAGGTTTTTCTTCGAATTAGCACGCGCTGATTTTCTTCACGCAGTTCATTCCTCTCGTGTAAATAACCCCTATCATAGTTTCTCATTCTACGTATCCACTCAATTGCACACAATTGCTTAATTAATCTAATTAAACATCGAGTTTACTTTTCAACGTTCAGGCATCAATAAACAATTTTTCAATCGTCAAAATTTTGTATGTTTTGTATCGTTTTCTTGTATTACGTGACGTTTCATGTAACAACGAAAATTCAACGGTTACAAGTGTGCAATCGAGGGATGCAAATCGCTGCTGTAAGCAACGGTATAATACATCACACTGATAATACACGGCTTTCGATCTTCGTCGTTAACACTTTTTTTTTTAAACAATTGTTGAAAACGATTATTTGAAAAGTAGACTCATTTTATTTACACGTGATTTTTCACTAACAAACAATTCTGTGTCAAAATTGATGTTCAATCGTTTATCATTTCGCAGTTTGGTTATACTATTTCTGAATATATTCTCAAATGTTATCCGAACAATGTTTTTTCAAGCATGTTCTGTGTTCTTTTAGGCCGATTAGCACCGATGATCTGATTAATTAAGTTTAATAGTTAATGATTAGCACCGATGATCTGATTAATTAAGTCTAATAGTTAATGATTTGTTAATTTAAATATTTTCAACGTCCCAGACTTATTTTTTAGACATATCAAAACACACTTTTTATTGTTATAGCAAATCTATGATTAAGTTAAAAAATAATCTTTCTTCAGCTATAAAAATACTTAATGTGAGAAAAAATTTACAATTTACAATAAATACTAACCTCTGCGATAAATACTCTTATTTTCGATATTTCAACTAACAATAAGAATAAATCGGCTCTAGATTGGTAAAAGAATTTAAAAATGAAAGGTTTGCCAAACTTAGTATTTTGTTTAAACACCAATAATTTTCTCGATTGCCTAATTCTGTACCTAATTCATTCAATGATATAATATAATTAAAGCAAATATTGATCAGCATTGGTGCAACCGGCTTTTATAAGAAAAATAATGCAAATATTTTCCTCCGATTTTGATAAGCTTTGGATGTTATAGATGTCTCAATCAAAATAAGAAGTACGTATCTTTTCATTTATTTGCTTACATCGTTCCCGATTCAGCGACTTCGCTCCGATATTTTTCTCGTCTATGTTTCTTTAAGGAACTCAGGGTGGTTTATTTTGTTTTTCTGAAACAACACTCATCGTCCTCACATCTTTGAATACTGTCCTGCTAATCGGCCGCTCTTTTTTCTCTCCATGTTGCACGATTATATACGATTATATAGTTGCACGGACTGGAATTTCAATGATCTTTGCAATGGCATAAGAGCGTTTCAGAAGAATAAGAAAAGCTTTAAATAACCACATATAATATTATTCGTTGGAATATATGACCATAGCAATACAGTCATATAGCAATAGTCGATATAGAAAAGTGTTATTATTATGCGCCCAAATATATAAAATTGTTAAAAAAATAAAAAATATATTTAATAAATTTTTCGCTTGCACACATGATAATTGACTGTACAAAAAAATTAATTTTTTGCTTTGTTCGTCCGCTTATTTCCCTCACGAGTCAAATAAATAAAATCTATATATCAAACACACATATATGAGAGTATATATATATAATTAGTAATCAAATTAAAATTAATACTAGAAACCTCCTGGAACACAGTGGTGGTTCTATATGCCGATCAAGGATACGTTGGATTTTCGTGTAACTATATGAAGATTACGTGAGACCGTGTATCAATAAAACATAAAAAAAAACAAATGGCAAAAAAAGTTTTGCTTGAGATGTAGCATGTCATTGCATCAAGCCAAGGTAGATTGAAATTATACAATTGGTATAACAAAATTTTGAAAAAAACTACATAATTTTTATGAAAGAGAGAAAGAAAGAGAGAGAGAGAGAGAGAGGGAGAAAGAAAGGATAAAGAAAATCGTGACGGCGAGGAGGTCACGTATGTAAGGATGCATTCTCTCATGACATAACCTAAATTCGCTGGTAAAACGTTCCGCGGTAAAATATATTCGTCTATTAGGATGGGAGGGACGGAGGATACCAAAGGAAGGAAAAAGAGAAAATAATAGCCGACATATTCACCCAGAAGTAGTCAACAAAGTCCACGGTCATATTGGAACCGCGATCAGACCATCATACTATCACGTTTTGGCTCGCACGTCCCTTCGCGACGATAATGTCGATCGCAACAGTGTTCACTACGATCGATGCACTTTACGATTATGCCACGGAAATATGTAATATTTCGATTCGCGCTGAACGGCGGCGATAATTCGTTTCAGTCCTAATGTTTTCCTGCCACCCAAGAGTCGCGAGTGGAACAAGCGCGCTCGAGCCTCGGAGCCTAGCGCGGAGATACGGGTCAACTTGTGTCGACTAGTCGACTACTCTTTCTCTTATTCTCATGCTCCGTTTTTCTTCTTTTCTCTCGCGCAGTTGCGCAACTATGGCTGCGGTCGGGAAGACGCTAGAAATGCTTCGAAACATTTGATTGACCAATCAGAACAAAACGAGTAAAAATTTCTTTATTCTGATTGGTTAATGTAATGCTTCGAAGCATCTCTAGCGTCTTCCCGACCGCAGCCTATGTTCGCTTTCGACAGCAAGCGAACGACCAATAGGAACATAGCGATTGGCGCGGCCGTATCAAGGATCGAGTTTCCGAACTATAATGAATTTAATCCTTTGACTATATACCTATGGACTGCCAACGACCCCCACTTTTCTCATTTAAGCAATGGGTGCGTTCAGGAGACGCAACCGATGAGTAGCAATCGAAAGTGATTGGTTCTTACTTCTAGAACCAACAAATCAACGTGGAATGTTGACAAGACGATGATCAACAGTTGTGTTTCCTGAACGCGCCCAATGTAAAACGCCGCGATCCGAGATCTCAGCGCCCCCAGAACCCAAATAGCCAAGCCAAGAATTAAAAATCATATATTCTGACTGTGAATTATTTGCAAGAGAAGAATTTGAAGTGAGAAAAAGTGCTATAAATGAAATAAAAAATGATTCATTATTGTTCATTATTAAAATTTAAATCGATTAAAAAATTTAATATGGAAAAGAGCAACAAGTATTCTATTAAAAAAGAAAGGAAATCAAAATGTAATGTAATAAAATATACTTGAAAATAAAAAAAAAAATAAAAAAATAAAAAACGCAATCTTACATAAAAGAATATAAATAATTTTTTATTATAATTTACGATTACTGTCCTTTGAACAATATTATTTTGGTCAAATCTTTTCTAACATAAGTCAAATGCGATTTTCGCGTAAATTCTTTTCCAATGTAATAGAATTTAATTTTTAAGCATAATTTTATTATCCTTTTTATTACTTCATATTTGTGATTGTTCAACAAGTCATTATGCATTACGTGCACATTAAAATTATTAAAAAGTTTATTCAGATTTATATTTCTTATCACATTTATACTAATTTTTTGAAACGCGTATTTCATTTTCCATTTATTTTCTATTCTATAAATATTAAATAGCTTTTCTGTTACACTCATTATAGCGTTATATTTCAATTCTTCTCTTGCAAATAATTCACCAGTCAGAACTCAGAATTAGGGCCAATTTCACCAAGCTCGGTTAGATTAAGTGCCGGTCTACAATAGGTGATTTAAGTTTTAAGCTTTAAGAAATTGACCAATCATAGTCAAGTATAATATAAAATTAAAAATGGCAGAACAAAAGCCTACTCAGCCATATACAATATTATGATATCGCTCAAAGATCGTATAAATATATATATAATATGATGATAACAGAATAAATTTTGTCAGAAATGATCAAGGATACGTTGGATTTTCGTGTAACTATATGAAGATTACGTGAGACCGTGTATCAATAAAACATAAAAAAAAACAAATGGCAAAAAAAGTTTTGCAGATGATGTAGCATGTCATTGCATCAAGCCAAGGTAGATTGAAATTATACAATTGGTATAACAAAATTTTGAAAAAAACTACATATTTATGAAAGAGAAAGAGAGAGAGAGAGAGAGAGAGAGAGAGGAAACAGAACGGGATAAAGAAAATCGTGACGGCGAGGAGGTCACGTATGTAAGGATGCATTCTCTCATGACATAACCTAAATTCGCTGGTAAAACGTTCCGCGGTAAAATATATTCGTCTATTAGGATGGGAGGGACGGAGGATACCAAAGGAAGGAAAAAGAGAAAATAATAGCCGACATATTCACCCAGAAGTAGTCAACAAAGTCCACGGTCATATTGGAACCGCGATCAGACCATCATACTATCACGTTTTGGCTCGCACGTCCCTTCGCGACGATAATGTCGATCGCAACAGTGTTCACTACGATCGATGCACTTTACGATTATGCCACGGAAATATGTAATATTTCGCGCTGAACGGCGGCGATAATTCGTTTCAGCCCTAATGTTTTCCTGCCACCCAAGAGTCGCGAGTGGAACAAGCGCGCTCGAGCCTCGGAGCCTCGGAGCCTAGCGCGGAGATACGGGTCAACTTGTGTCGACTAGTCGACTACTCTTTCTCTTATTCTCATGCTTCGTTTTTCTTTTTTTCTCTCGCGCAGTTGCGCAACTTGGCTGCGGTCGGGAAGACGCTAGAAATGCTTCGAAACATTTGATTGACCAATCAGAACAAAACGAGTAAAAATTTCTTTATTCTGATTGGTTAATGTAATGCTTCGAAGCATCTCTAGCGTCTTCTCGACCGCAGCCTATGTTCGCTTTCGACAGCAAGCGAACGACCAATAGGAACATAGCGATTGGCGCGGCCGTATCAAGGATCGAGTTTCCGAACTATAATGAATTTAATCCTTTGACTATATACCTATGGACTGCCAACGACCCCCACTTTTCTCATTTAAGCAATGGGTGCGTTCAGGAGACGCAACCGTTGAATAGCAATCGAAAGTGATTGGTTCTTACTTCTAAAACCAACAAATCAACGTCGAATGTTGACAAGACGATGATCAATAGTTGTGTTTCCTGAACGCGCCCAATGTAAAACGCCGCGATCCGAGATCTCAGCGCCCCCAGAACCCAGAAATGGCCAAGCCAAGAATTAATAATCATATATTCTGACCATAGACATAGTATATCTAGACCGAGCGTTTGCTTTTATTTAAGGAGTGGGGGCCGATAGAGAGAACACAAGGGGCACGAAACAGAGTCTGTCCTTTTCTACGTGTATCTTTACCCCCACTCCTTAAATAAAGGCGAACGCTCGGTCTAGATATACTATGTCTATGCGAACGTCATTCTATCTTTGTTCAACTTTCAGTAAATAACAAAGATAGCTCGACGCTCGGTGCACACAGGTGACATTCTCAAACGCAGCCCAGTATATAGTCAAAGATTTAATCATAGATTTATAAAATCATAGACATGTAAAATACATAGACATAAAATCCGTTGTGCGCTAACACACAAGGAAATATAATGGTCAGAAAAAGAATAAGCATAGTTGAAAACAACAAATGCAGTTTTAATATGTATATAAAAATGTGTGTGTATTTTTACTTTTAAGGTTTAAATTATATTAATTTATTTTGTTAAATTTACATTAAATTCATTTTAATAATGATTATTTAAATGACAAAGCGAGATAATTATAAAAATTATATAAATTTTACATTTAGTAAATAAGAGAAGTAACAGAGTAAGCTTAAAATAATAAAAGGATAGTAAAAATATATTTAAATTAATAAAAATTTTCTTATGAGTATATTTCTATATTTCTTTAATGTATTTGCAGGACATATATAAATATAACATTGCGTTAGATATTATTTAAGCATAAAAAAATATAAATATATTATATCAATTTTTATATCTATTTTAATCTTTATGCTTTTACTATTGCTTTTTCAAAAATAAAGCCTTATATGAAAAATTTATTCTGCGTTTTCAAATTATTTTTCTACGAAGAATTATCTTAGTTATATCACGATTTTTGCACATACTATTTATATTCTCGTATTAATTCCTATTACAATTATTTAAATGACAAAGCGAGATAATTATAAAAATTATATAAATTTTACATTTAGTAAATAAGAGAAGTAACAGAGTAAGCTTAAAATAATAAAAGGATAGTAAAAATATATTTAAATTAATAAAAATTTTCTTATGAGTATATTTCTATATTTCTTTAATGTATTTGCAGGACATATATAAATATAACATTGCGTTAGATATTATTTAAGCATAAGAAAATATAAATATATTATATCAATTTTTATATCTATTTTAATCTTTATGCTTTTACTATTGCTTTTTCAAAAATAAAGCCTTAAATGAAAAATTTATTCTGCGTTTTCAAATTATTTTTCTACGAAGAATTATCTTAGTTATACCACGATTTTTGCCATATTACACTATAAATATTATTGAACTTTTCGTTTTATATAAGTTTTATATAGGATAATTTATAAGGTTTTACTGTTATATTTGCAATGGGAGATACATTAAAACAAAAAAAAAACATAAAAAAAACATAAAGGCAAATATAAAGAAAGGAAAAGCGAAGATGAGTATCGATGAACATTATGTTATATGGAAGCGAATCCTTTGGAATCAAAACGGAGATCTTAGAGACCTTCGGAAATGATAATAAAATTATAACATATGTGCGCAGTAAACAAAAAATTTAAATTACTAAATATTAAACATAATGCGTATAGTAGTTACATAACTTGATTTTTACACTTTCATTCAAATCAAAAAAATTTTTTTTCCATACAGCGTGTTAAACGATACTATTTTGCCTGATGCAATAATCGATGAATCTTTCCAAAGTATGGAAACTAAAGGAAATGTGTTGCAAGATTGCGTAATTCTAAATCATCAATTCGTTATTGCGACGCGGTGACGATGCGAAGAGAAAGAGAGACGGAGTAATAGAGAAAGAGCGAGAACGCATAGTCAGCCGGCCGGCAGGGGAAGAACTACGACGTAGTGGACTATCGACCCGGCCTTCGTCCTACCACCTCTGCAGGCCGTCTTGCTGACGACGCGGTGCTCTACGCAAGGCTGTGTTCCGATTCCCCACCCGGGTGCATCCGATATTATAGTATACGTGACATATACTATGATATCGAGTACACCCGGGTGGGGATCGGAACACAGCACAATGTCAATGCGGCAACATTGGGACTAGTAGCGTCTCACGGTTTAGTTATCGCTCTGACCTCCGTCTCGTCGTAACGACTATTTGTACGTATCCGGAGTGTCACCTGGGTGCTTATAGGCGTATATACGCACTAACACATATACAGAGATACTCTAATGCACAAACGTCATTAATACATATTAGATCCATTTCTACCTTAATTTGTCTCTTTGTCCTTCTCTTTAGCTATATTATTTTCTTTATCTCTCTTACATCATTATAACATGCTCATACGGATATGTAAACACGAATCACTATCGGTCACTCGCTCATAGCTCACCGACACTGTAGATATGATTGGACTAGTAGTGTCTATACTACCGTTTCGCGATCGCCGTTTTTATCTATAACTTTTACGCAAGAAAATTTAATTAAACGGGATTAGTGTTAACCGATGCGTCGGCCATCGCACTTGATACCGGTGTCTTTTCATCTTCAAAGGTTCCTTTCCAAAGATACTCATATAGGCGCATACACATATATACACATATAAGTGTGTAGAGAAAACGAGCTAGGCAATTGACAAGGTGTCGAAGATACTCTGGCTAGATCGACAACTGATATATTGAAATAAATGAAGAGAATAAGTAATAGAGAGAAAGAGAGAGAATTTATGATGAAGAGAAAGAAGTCTTGTGTGACAAACAGGAAGTTTGTCAGAATGAAGATGAGGAAGTGGTAAAACCGGAAAGTGGTCGACTTCACTAGTCTTTGGTCTATCTCTTTTTTGTCCTATCTTTTTCTCATTAGCAAATTATCCAAAAAGACTTCGACAATTAGTTCTATGACATTCTTTTTTTTAAACTTAATTTGAAATATGACTTGTTACACAAATGCTAACTGATCTATTCATCAGTTTGGATTCTCCGAAGATTTCACGATAATTTGTTTTGATTCACTTCTTATTTTGCATAGTCCGATTTATTTATAGTTCATTTACACGTATCTTACAAGGAGATCTTTGCTTTATCGTTTTTATCGTTTCGTACTCTCATTATTGCTGCACCCAATACAGATCATTTTAAATACGCTGAAATGCAGCTCGATTATAATCCTAAATCGTTCATTTCGCGATTTTTTTCTGTCTGATAAAAATCTATCGAATGATCGTATGTGCGCAGATATGGGTATTGCATTTTATTACGTACATCACACTCGCGCATACGCGCACGCACACATTGGTGATATACATATACTTTCTCTCACACAGACAGTTCCTCCCTTTTCGTTCTATATACAGGATGGCCCAATAGAACACTTAAATAAATAAAACATCTGAATATCCTTCCGTATAGTAGTGTATTTCGTGTCATAATCGACACCGAAGAGTCGCATTGTCCTTCTCGATAGAACGTCCCTAATTCTGGCTTGTTAACGACACCGCGTGTCCGTCATCGAGAAACAGCCGGCTTTGTGCGTCGCTCGCTAACGCAGCAACTGTGTGTCACTGTCCCACTGACACACACACCGCGGTCTCATGATTGGTTCATTCTGGAACAGTGTTGCCAACTATAATATTTAGAATTCCGCTATTTGACTCACTAAAAAACTCCGAAATAAGCTAAATTTAAAATAAATAAGCTAAATAATAAGCTAAATATATAACAACTCTTATTATATTTGAATCTTATTATATTTAAATTCAAACATTTAGTTTTATAAAGAAGAGTCTTTATTCATATACAATTAAAAGATATAAAGATACTTCTGATACAAAATAAAATTTTTTTTAGCGTCCAATTATTGTTCAATATTTAACAAAACAAAATTTAATCTAATAAAAATGATGAAAGTAAATAATAACGCATAATTCTCAAATAAATAATAATGATGAGATTTTACCTATAAGTTAGCATAGCTAAGTTTAGATTTGGTGTAAAAATTTAGACTGTCTAAATTTATATTATAATAATATTCGCTACTTAAAAGCTGTAAGCTTAATATATGTGAAAGCTGCAATCGAGTTTTACGTTATCGTTATATATAGGTTGCGTTCCGATATTCATTGCCAGTACTAAAGATTTTCAGTTTCAGCTTACTGCTATTCTATAGATGTGAATGTTTTACCGTATCGTTTATGCTTATGAATGGGCCATAGTAGAGAGCCTCTAGGAGAGAGAGGGGCCAACGGGTCATGTGACCAGTCATTTCGTGATTGGCTGATCACATGACCCGTTGGCGCCTCTCTCTCCTAGAAGCCCTCTAGGTCATAGTCTTTTCTGAATCAATTAACTAATTATATATATAATGTCTCTAATTAAAACTTAGCAAAAAAGAAAGTAAAGTTTATTATAGAAAAAATCCGCAGTTTTAGTTCTCTAATAATCCAGAAAATAAGCTAATCACCGAATATGCTAAAACATAATTTTTACACCCCAACTGATACATAATTAAGCTAAATCTAGCGGAAAATACGCTAAGTTGGCAACACTGTTCTGGAACCTCTGCCGTGTGTGCCCTTCAATGCCGATTGACAAAGTGAGAGAATCAGAAAATTTATATAATCCATATACAGGAATTCGATTGTCATTTCTCTTGAATTAGGGGATGCATATGTCTAACTTTTCGAGATATTTTTGGGGGAGCTAGAATTCTTTCTAATTAATTTATTACACCTATTTCTGTAATCTTTCTTTAATCATATGCTGTCATATGCATAGTATAATCTGCAAATGGTGCTTTAATTATTTGTTACGGCAGCTTCCTTCAGAATACAAGAGCATGTACACATATATAGGACCGCACCAGGAGCATGCGATTGTACGATGTGCGCCGCAACAGCCGTTATCGAGTGAGTATAACATTCGTAATTAGAAGCAAGACAATACACATATCTTTTTGGTTGTATTTACTTTCAACGAACATTTATCTCTTAAACAGTAGAAAATTTTCAACATTTACTTACCAACAAAAATTATAAAAAATTTACCTATGACCTGATATTTCACATGTGACATAAGAAAAAAAAATAGTATTTTAATATAAAGTTTTAAAAATTATTGCAAATGTGTTTGAACAAAGAATATATAATGTAATATATATATAATATACATTATATTACTCTTATATATTATATAAGATTATATTAAGATTAAGATTATATATTATATTTTATTATAATATGATATATTAAAAAATATTGTCTTAAAAAACTATGTCAGACCTTATTCCGCTAATCGTTGATTTCTTAGCTAGTCGTCGCTCAAATTTAATCATCCACTATCTTACATGATCTTCTGCGATCTCGTTTTACATAAGGCAATTTGTCTGCAATAAATTCCGCGCCGTTGATTTTTCCATTTCGTCGACGGTACTCGTTTTCTTAAAAAATGGAATAAACCCAAAATATAAATCATATGGACGATCAAACTCTACTATCCTTATCTATGTAATCTTTATTTGCGGTCGTTTTCCTGTTATTCTTCTCTTTTACACGAGTTGACAGATATTCAGCTCATTAATAATATCGCTAATGGTGTCGTGCTATTTGACTTTTACGTGTTAATATTGTAAAATTAAAAAAAAGAGAATTGTGATTCATCTAATTATATTCTAGTTATAATTTAATTATAATCTAGTTATATTCACGATACACACCACTGGAGATCTAGAAGAAATACCATATACGATTATTAACAATTAAAACTTCAGAGAGAGAAAACAATGATCTTATATTTCTTTTTATTCATTAAACAATGAGAAAGTACGAGTCATTGTTCTCATTGTTACATTTATATTTTATTTCCTTATCAATAATTCGGGGTATATTTGATAAGAAATAGAATTTCAATACTCACGTATACACATACACGGTAGTTCGGAAATTTTACCTTAAGATTAGGATTGCACGAACGATTATAACGGAAAGTCAATCGGTCAAGCGAGAACAGGCCTTAAAGAAAATTTTAGATTTGATATCTGAAGACTTTTATAAAAGATTCAAATATTTAAGATCAAAGAATACTAGCTTTCTCCGTAGAAAATTTTAGCGTTTTTATGTAAAAACTTACATAACTTAAAAACTTACATAACTTACATAACCGATAAAACTTTCTTTGAATAATTTAATACAATTATCATAGTAGATAGTTACCCATATTAACCTGGCCCCCCACCACGAAAAATTGGCTATAGTGCATAATTAAGTGCTAATTTATTGTTAATGTATTGCTCTAAGCGCGAATTTATTGCTCCTATCCATTAGCAGGAAAATGATATTAAAGATGGGGGTGCTGACTTGCCATTAAGCTAGCACCCCCACTTCCAAAAAACACTTATAGCGAGTCGCATATCATAAAACAAATAGTGGCTCCTATGTTTATCTTGCTTTACATATACTTGGAGAGTTAACCGGAATTTTGTCAAGATGTTTTGATTTTTAAAAATTCTTTTCCCTCACCGAGGCAAATTTGCAAACTTGTACATTTGTATTTATATGTATTTGTCACTTAAAAAACGACGCGGAATTCAATTTAAAATAAAAGGGAACAATAAATAATCATTGAGAGTTGTAATGAATTTACGAACATAAGTCCGGCATCAAATTAATAAATTAAAAAAGAATCTCTTAGATAACCATCTTTAAGGAAGAAATTGGTTAAATAAATACTATTAAAAACAAGAGTTTGTGAAAGTCGTATTTGATTAATATTTAAACAATGTTTTGATCAAACATGTATATCATAAGATCTCTGATTATATAATTCAATTAGACAATTGGGTATATTTGCGATTAAAAGACCAAACAAAGCGATGACATTACAATTCAATTAAGAAAAAAAAGAAATAATGAGATTTAAGAAATTATGAACTTTGCAGGACCCACTCTGGAACCATCATTACAAACACGAAAGAAATGCCCAGAGCTTGCTTATAAGACACACGAGTTTAGCACAAGAGCGGACGATGGTGGTATCGATGCCATCGACTCGAACGTCGTAGCCGATAAGGTATGGGATAGATTTATGGATTATATTCTAATAACAAAATAATATTAATAAAATGATATTAATAAATAGTATTAATAAAAAGGTATTGCTGGATAGATCAATCGCCGGATGTATTGCGCTTCGTAGGAATTAGCGGGTTTAGAGGATAGCTCTATTAATTGACGTCGGGCACGTTTCTTTACTCCGCCTCGCCTACTTTTTGGCATTTGTTAATGTCGATAATTAGAATCGCGAACACTGGCTTTATGCATTGGTTATGTGTGTAAACGCGTAGCGTGCGAGGGACCGCACTGCTATTTCGGAGGTGCGTGTGTTATGTAATACGGCGTGCGAGGGACCGTACTTGCTGTATTATGTGTCTATTGCTAATAACAATATTGGCGTGCGAGGGACCGCACTGCTGTATTGTAATTAGGTGTGTTAATTGTGTGATGGATGAAGCCAGTTGAAACTTGAATTATAATTTCTCACTTAAATACACGAGGGATGGATATTCGAATATAGAGAGTAATTAACGTGTTGAACGCGTGGCGGAATAAAATGATACGTTGCGCGCTTGGTAGTAATAAAGAAGTATGAGGGTTTTTATCCTTTAAAATAATCAACTAGAATTTTAACACTATAATATATTTATTCACTACTTGTACACTATAGCTAATACACTAAGGTTAGAGTTAAACTAGAGTTTGAATTTAGGGATTGAATTAGAGTTAGAGTTAGATGTGGAGTCCCGATTTAGACTTGTTGTCAGTACGAGGTTGCGGATGAGACTGACGAAGTCGGGGCCTGCACTGAGGTCCTTCGTTTCGGCGGCTCAGCCGCTGCAGTCGCCCGCAATTGGGAGTACGTGGTAGTGGGATCGCGAAGTAGTGGGACGACGCGCTTCTATAGTAGCGCCGCGCTTAGATACTAGGAGAAGCAAGGTGTCATGGCCGCCGAGAGCGGGCTTTTCGAATCGCTTAAAAAGGAACTTAGAATTCTTTTTGCTAGTTTGAAATATACAGTAAGAGAAAGAAATTCGGAAAAATTAGTCGCGGGACGTGACACCTCCCCCCTTAAAAGAAAATGTTGAACCGAGATTCGACATTTTCCTTTGTATACATACTACAAGATTACATTATCAATTACATAATCGAATTTTCATTATATGTTTCTTATGTTATTCCTTATTTTAGTCTCATTCATCTAACAATTTCCTAAGTTCTTTAAAATCTTTGCACACTTCACTCGTATAACTCACTCGGGGTTGTGGGGTTATTTCTTCTGGTGTTGGGGGGGGGGGCTTTAGGGTGCAGATTTTCGGTCGTAGAAGGGGTTATGGGAGATAATTCTTCGTTTGGCGGGGGTATTTGATTGGGACGCTGATTTCCGCCGTTGCCTCTATCGTTTCTTCTGCTCGGAGTTCCCATGTACAGAAGTAGATTTGTTACTGATGTCCATATTGCTCTCAGTAGATGTAGACTCCACCCGTAAATGGAATGGAGAGCGTAACCATGGATGATTGTGTCCACTATTAATTTTACGAGCCGGACGACTATGAATATTGTGAGTATCCCTGCGCTGGCGGATCCAAATGTCATAAATCCCTTCCAGAGACGTATGCCTGCATTTTCTGCAATCTGGTCCAATGTTTTCTCGTCAAATAGGTTTATCAGGGATAAACTACCCACTGGAATCTCCTGGCCCATTGCTCCTCGTGCGATTGTATTTAGCATGGAAGGTTTTTCCATGGGAAACATGATGTGATCACGTAGACAGTCGAGGTCCTCGTTCGTGTAGATGCCGCTGGTGGCGAGGGATGTTGGGCTGACATACTTCCATGTTGGTTTCGTTAACGGGTGTATCATTGGTGGTGCCATTGATTCAACTGGTTTTGGCATTAGCCGATACCAGGTGTTGTAGATTTTGTACATCGTCGGCAAGAGTTCATTACAATCCCTCGGTGTTCCTGTTTTGGTGAGTATTCTCGATCCGGGTAGTAAGAATATTGATTGGTTCTTGTAGGTGACCGGTAGCTTATTGTAACAGCCTTCCACGGATCGCACGCGGCACTCTGCAGGTACACACTTGATCAGGTGCATGGCTTCGCCGGCTATTATTGCGGTGTATCCTGGTTCCTTCATTATTCTGTAAGCCATCTCGTCAGGCGCTATGCTTGCCAGAGAGAGAGCGTTATGTAGTATCTGTTTTTCCAAGGCGCATTTCTGTTCCATGATGTCTCGGTATAATTGTGAGAGCTGTGTTTTGATGTGTTTCTCCACATACAGGAATTTCGAGTTCACATAAGAGAATATGTCTAAGTTGTTGACAGATACTCTGGCTCTGGTTTTGAAGGCTTTGCCTCTCTGTGTTTCCAGAACTGATAATTTCGGGTGTTCAGTTTGCAGCAGGCGGTATCCGCATAGGTTGAGCTTCGTTGTTTTAGTGAGCGCGAATATAGTGTTGGTGTTGTATAGTTCCCCTTGGCGGTCAGTTTGCTGGCTATTCCCTCATAGAGAACATCATACCTGTCGAAATGGCAACTATCTCTTGGGGCGATATTCCAGTAAGTTTCTGATCCGTCGATGTCGAGGCATTCGCCTAGTGATGCCTTGCAGTGCACGCCAGATGGGAGGATCACCTCGTTTGATTTCCGGTCGATCGAGACTTCGAAGTCTCGCAGGGTTACCTTGACGACTGCTTGGACGACGACGTCTTTCCAGGTTCCAAAGGCGTCGCTATATTCCGTCCCGGAACATCGTCCGTCCACGGAGGTGGAGCCTGCTAGTGTAATAGAATGCGTGTTCGTGTTATTTCTCTTGAGGCCCTGTATGATGCTCTGTTGGCCCGTTCCCA